ACTCCTGAAAAAATAAGAAATTTATAAAAAAAATAACTACTTATCCCAAAATTCTGCATGCAGAAACCACATCTAAACCAAATGCCGGTTTGCAAAATTGTTAAAATTTGCCTGAAGATGTCGGAAAATCGAAACACTTCAAACTCGTAGAACAGCTTTTGGCCTACAAAATACATATAAATGCTAATCTCGCGCTTCCATGCTGCATAACCCAGTCAAAAATGATTTTCTTCCCTTAGAAGTTACACACACAAAAACGAGACGCACTTTTGAAAAATTCTTGAATATTGCCCAATAATGAAGGGCGAAATTTCTGCGACTTATAGAATGGCCTTCGTTCTACAAAATACACTAAAAAACTACTCTCTCACCTTGTTAGTTCCTAAATCAATAAGTACCAAACTTCGGCAAACTTGGTTAGTAAAACAAAATTGGTAAAAATTGCCTGATGATGGCTGACAATCGAAACTTTTCTCTTTCAGAGAACGGACTGTTATCTACAAAATTCAGTCAAATTGGACTGTAGGTCTATAATCAGAATGTGATAATTCAACTTGTCTAAAATTGCAAAGTTTCCAGATTTGTGTTTTTTTCAAATAAAGTTTAAAGTTTAAAGTTTATCAAAAACGGCTTTTCCTGTAACTTTCCAGTGCATTTTTCTCACTTCGAGTCTGAAACGGCTTCACTAGTGGCAACACGAATCCATGAAGCCAATAAATCCATGTCTGCGCTCTATTTTATCACCAATTTTAGCTCTTAATGCGCTGTCAATGTTTGATAATGAAGGATTTTCCGGGGTTATTGAAACATGCTAAGCTCTATTAATAAAATTTATTATTCATGAAAAAAAATTATCAGAATATGTTGAAAGAACTGCCGCCACACGTTTTAGCTACCCAAGATTTAGTCGATTTTTTGCAATTTTTCAGTTCAGTCTCAATGGTTAGTAGAAGAAACTTTTCGATATAAGTCGGGGAAATTACACGCGATTGTTCCTCGAATTTTGACATTTTATGAACATCAAGCCTTTTTAATAAAAAATCCATTTTCCTCGATTTTACTAAAAGATTTGAAATAATGCATTTGACTAAAACTGAAGAACGGCAGACAAAGGGTAAATCAGTGAGCCACAAGTTAGTTAAGGTGAAAGAAAACTTTTTCTGCTACATCTTCAATAGTGCATAAATTTGGCAGTTATCGTTTGGAGAATTGGCGGTTTTTGGTCCAGACGTTTTGCTAGCACGCACGGCTCGCATCTTCAGAACTGTATTTAGTCGAAGATTTCAAGTGAATTGAAGAAGTTAGAAAGAGAAGAAGAAGTCCAGAAAAGTTGGAAGATCAGCTGCTGCAGGAATAAAAGATACTTAAAATCTCGAGAAATGGGACGAAAAATTGTAGCTCGTGTTTGAAGAAACGGAAGAATTCCACGCTCAATTTGAAGGCAATACTTTGCGTTTATGAGGAATACGAATTTAAATAAAGAAGCAAATAAAAACAACGAAAGACACAAAAACGTCTAAAAGTGGCGAAGCTGAAGAATGTGACGAGAGACGGTGGGTGAACTGATAGGAAAGAGTGCGCTTGAAGAAAAAAAACTGCAACAACAATGCGAGGACTTGAAAAAAATTCTACCATTGGGCCGTCGTCAATAATAATTTGGCCCTGACGTTTCGCTAGTACGCATGGCTCGCATCTTCATCTTCAAAGGCGCGTTTGCTTAAAGACTTCATTTTGGGCCTGTTAAAGACCCTTTGAAGTTGGAAGATTGGTTACTTCGATGAAACGAATGAAATATACTTAAAATAAGGCAAAATGCACATGAATGAAAAAGTGTACTTCTTCTGTGAACATTCAAATACACCGTTGGAGTAAGACTTCAAGGAAAAACACCAAGAAGCGCTAAACCATGACGAATTCTAAGTGAGAGTCCAACGTGACGAACCCTAAGAAAGTGATGGAAAAATAATTGAAGATGCTGATGTTTTACGGGTGAAGAACAGATCTGGAAGAGTTCGGTTGAATAAATAGAAGAAAACCTGCAATATCTTCATTAACGTTAAGACTCGAAGAAAGGCAAAAATTATGTTTTTCAGGTATTAGGCAGTGGTTCGAGCGAACAAGACTCTGAAGATGCTCGCATTGTGCGCTAGCGAAACGTCAGGACAAATTCCTATAGACGACGGTCCAATAACCCAAAAATCAGAAATTGTTTATTTGTCTTCAAGTTATTTTAGAGTATTAAGAGGATAATCGAAACACGAATTTAAAGAAAGATTGCTTGATTTCTTGAACAAATTCTTTAAACCTCAAGTTTATTAAAAAATTCTGAATCAACATCAGCAACAAGATATCGTCACGCACAGGAAGAACTAAGGAACACACTGACATTTTATCGCATATGACTAAACCCTGAAGATGTTAGGCACGCTTGTTAGCGAAACTTTCGAACAAAATTTTTATCGACGACTAAGCAATAATCACAAAATCATCTGTTTCTCAATTTTCTTTAACTCTTATTAGAGTCTGAAGAGAAAAATCGAGACGAGATAATGAAGACAATAAGTCTAATTTCTTGAAGAAATTCATTAAACCTGAAGTTCAAGGAAACTTCGAGCGATCAACATCAAGGAGAGACTAAAAGTCGTCCAAAGAGTGACGAAGCTGGCGAATGGGACGGAAAAATCGATGAAGAAAATGAAAAATCATGCAAAGAACTAATTGGAAACGGAAACCTGCAACATCTTCAATCAATGTTAGCGATCAAAAAGGACAAAAATTTGCTTTTTTT